AAAAAAGTCAATATTTAAGAAAGTATAGTACGATTTAATAAATATCTTGTGAACTATTGACATTTTTTAAGATATAAACTCATCCCGATGTTACACTCATCGAGAGCTTTCATTTGAGTGCCCACATCAATTTTTCATATATTTTATATATTTATATATATGTTTATATGAAAAAATATATCAAAAAATGCATGTGGGTACTCAAATGAAAGCTGTTGATGAGTGTAACATCGGGATGAGCTTATATCTTTAAAAACGTCAATACTTAAGAAAGTACAGTAGAATTTAATGAATATCTTGTGAACTATTGACATTTTTTAAGATATAAACTCATCCCGATGTTACACTCACCAAGACCTTCCATTTGAATACCTACATCAATTTTTCATATATTTTATATATTTATATATATGTATATATAAAAAATATATCAAAAATGCATGTGGGTACTCAAATGAAAGCTGTTGATGAGTGTAACATCGGGATGAGCTTATATCGTTAAAAACGTCAATATTTAAGAAAGTACAGTGCAATTTAACAAATGTCATTATTTAATAAACCAAAATTTTATTTATTTCTAGTTTACAAGTTACGGCAGTCACCTAGTGACTGCAAGATTGCTAGTTTGCTTATAAAAACAAAAAAGTAATCAGATATATAAGTGCATACAATTTAAATTCTATTTTTTAAACCAGAGAATAATTATCATAATAAGAAAAAAAAAAGGTCAGATTCTATCTTGGTAATTTAAAAGAGATCCAAGACACATTGATAGCTGAGTTATTGCCCAGCCCTATTTTAACTTCAATCAAGCTAATGTTTAAGTAATTGAAAGTCAATACAGATATATCGCAATGATTGTACTATTTAGCACATTGAGCTGGATGATTACTTCAAGTGGGAATTTTACACCACCGGACCCAGAAAATAGTAGTCCTAATAGTTGACCCAGTTTCAGCCAGATTACACTGAATTATTTTTTATTCCTTCTTGCACATAAAACACTTACAAGTACAAGTAAAATATTTAATAATATAAATGTTCCGCTTGCTCACCGGAGCCAGAACGGAAGAAATGGCCTCATCATGTCTGTAAATTGTAAAATGAAAATTATGAAATACAAGTTAGGAAGTAACAAGCAAAGAGAAATTTAATGACAGTAATACGTTAGACGACTATCACTTACTTGTAAAACGCTATAAATTATGTAGATGCTTTTAAATATTTAATGACATGTATTATTAATACAAGCAGCTGAACAAGTTGATAGTGGATGTAGGACAATCCACGTGTATTTTTGGCGGTAATGTAGCACGCGTATCCAACTAAACTCTCTATTCTGGCCAGTCGAAAAAGTAAAGGGGTTGTTTAGTTTAGTTCTCCGTATACTTAAATCGCCTACCGAGAGTAATCCTCGGCGTTTACTTACTTGGTTGTGGTTCGTGGTGACAGTCATATCAGCAAGTGTTGAAGCAGAGTGTTGTGGATGACATTAAAGTTAGTTGTCGCTGACAAATTTGTTCAAAAAAATTATTTTTAAATTTCTAAATGTCAATTTTTTTTTGACATAATTTAAGTATTTGTTACAAAAATTTTTAAACATCTGTTAAATTAATTTCTGTAAGTTAGCGGTGTCACTTTACCATTTTTTAATTTTTTTTGACAAATAATTTTATTCAAAAAAATAATTTTAAAAAAATTGCATTTTTTGTTTTTTTAAATTTATAAGTGTCAATTTTTTTGACATAATTTATTTGTTTATCTTCTAAATTAATTTTTATAAATCAGCGGTGTCACTTTACCATTTTTTATTAATTTTTTGAACAAGCAAATTTGTATGAAAATTAAGTTAGCCGACATTAAAAAATTAAAAAAATTTTTTTTTATTAAAAAAAAATTATTCCAAAAAAGAAAAAAAAAATTTTATTGGTAAAAAACTTGAAAAACTACAAGTGTAATTTTTTAAAAATATTTTTTAGTTCTAATTTAATAAATGAGAAATAATTAAAAAATTAAAAACGTCGGCTAACTTATAATCATAAAGTTAGCCGACATTTTTTTATTTTGCTTAATTTTTTTAATTATAACTAAAAAATATTTTTAAAAAATTACACTTGTAGTTTTTCAAGTTTTTTACCAATAAAATTTTTTTTTTCTTTTTTGGAATAATTTTTTTTTAATAAAAAAAAATTTTTTTAATTTTTTAATGTCGGCTAACTTAATTTTCATACAAATTTGCTTGTTCAAAAAATTAATAAAAAATGGTAAAGTGACACCGCTAACTTACAGAAATTAATTTAACAGATGTTTAAAAATTTTTGTAACAAATAAATTATGTCGAAAAAAAAAATTGATATTTAGAAATTTAAAAAAATATAAAGTGCAATTTTTTTTTAATTATTTTTATGAACAAATTTGATAATATTAAAGTTAGCCATGAAAATTAAGTTAGCCGATAGTTTTTGAAGTTTTTAACAAATGAAAAATTTTTTTTCTTTATTTTATTGTAATAATTCTTAAATAAAATAAAATCATAAAATTTTTTAGATATCGGCTAACTTAATTTTCATGGCTAACTTTAATATTATCAAATTTGTTCATAAAAATAATTAAAAAAAAATTGCACTTTATATTTTTTTAAATTTCTAAATATCAATTTTTTTTTTCGACATAATTTATTTGTTACAAAAATTTTTAAACATCTGTTAAATTAATTTCTATAAGTTAGCAGTTACTCCGCCATTTTTTAATATTTTGAACAAACACTTTATTAAAAAAAAAAAAAATTCTTTTAAAATTGAATTTTGTATTTTTTTTTATTTCTAAATGTCAATTTATTTTGACATAATTTATTTGTTTATTTTCTAAATAAATTCTTATAAGTTAGCGGTGTCACTTTACCATTTTTTAAACAAATAATTTTGTTAAAAAAAATAATTTTTAAAAAATTGCATTTTTTATTTTTTTTAAATTTCTAAATGTCAATTTTTTTTGACATAATTTATTTGTTTCAAAAATTTTAAAACATCTGCTAAATTAATTTTTGTGTGTGTAGTTATATTATGTCTGTACACCTGCAAGGTAAAACTACTATTACTATAAAACTCTTACACGTAACATACATTATTATTTGATACTTACAAGTCCAGTGTTCTCGCCGACTGGCTGGCTGGCTGGTCGGTCAGTCAGAACGGCCGAGCCAAGCTCTCACCAGCTAGTTTGTTTCTCGAAACAGTACCCTCGAATGATTCCGCGTGTGTGCAAGTCCAGAGTCTCGCTTGAGACGGTGTCGCGTCCAATAACAACTGTCAGGTGAGTTCATTTTGTTTCAGCATTTCTTCTTCTTATTTTATTATTTCTTCTTTCTTCAGAGAATTAAGTAGTCTGTCATTTTAAATTTGTTGGCGCTGATTTAGATTTTATTGAAGATAAGTTTGTGGTTAGTCATAAGAAGAACTAAAAAAATGACAGGTGCAATTATTATCAATTATTATAAGCTCAAGTCCTTGTATAAATCGATTACTTGGAGAAATTTAAAATAATAAAATAAAATAAAAAAAAAGCACATGCTAACGAGATTTTACTTTGACTGTCGACCGTGACTTTATGAGTTATTATATTTTTTAAAGGTATTTTTATTTTTATCTTTATCTTTGTGCGTTAGGGGATTATAATTATTTAATTGTTCTGTGGTAGGTATTAAGAAGTTTTAAGAAGAATAATTACAGGTATAAATTTGACAGCTGTTTTTTTGAAAAAAAAAAAACGGAAGTTTTTTTATACAAATAAAAGAAGAAAAATATTTATAATAAATTTTAGGGTGTGAAAAAAAATTACTTGTCATCATTTTTAGGTTAAAGTTTTTTAAAAATTTTTTTATTAAATGTAAGTATAAAAATTACTAAACTTAATTTTTTAATAATAAAAATTTTTAATAATTTTTGTAACAAATAAATTATGTCAAAAATTGATAATTAGAAATTTTAAAAATATAAAATGCAATTTTTAAAAAATAATATTTCTGAAGAAATTAAAAAATAATAATAAAGTTAGCCGACACTTTTGATTTTTTTATTTTGCTTAATTTATTAAATTAAAACTAAAAAAAAATTTTTAAAAAATTGCACTTATAGTTTTTGAAGTTTTTAACAAGTGAATTTTTTTTCTTTATTTTTTTGTAATCATTTTTTCGATAAAAAAAAATTCTAAAAATTTTTAAATGTCGGCTAACTTAATTTTCATATTAAAAAACAAAAAATTAAAATTAATTTAGAAGATATTTAACAATTTTAAGAATTTTTTTAACAAAGAAATTATGGCAAAAAAAAAATGACATTTAGAAATTAAAAAAAAATACAAAATCTAATTTTTTTTAAATAATTTGTTTTATAAATAAAAATGACATTAAAGTTAGCAGTCGCTTGACTATTTTTTAATAAATAAATTTGCTCCAAAAAATTATTTCTAAAAAATTGCATTTTTTTTTTAATTTTCAAAATTTTTTTTGACATAATTTATTTGTAATAAAAAAAATTCTTAAAATTATGAAATATCTTCTAAATTAATTTTCATTAAATAAAATTAAAAAATTGTGATTTTAATGTCATAAAAAATTTAAAACAATTTTAAAGAAAAAAAAATGTCAACATAGCAATAATTATAAAATGAAATATTAATAAATCGGAAATGAGGTAAAAAATTAAAAAAAAAAAATAATACGGGGTCATGTTTTGATATATGTATCAATAATTTAAATCTTGACAAGTAAGAACGATTATAAATATACATAAACATAGGTAATAAATTTTTTTGGCAGGGTCATGAGAGTCTATGACTGTTACTATTGCTATTACTATTACTATTACTCCAGCAATGACAGAGAATAGTAGTGCGGTACAAGTACTTTGACAGATTGATTTATTGCGCAAGTGTAAATAATAGTAATAATAATAAAAATAAATAAATTAGTTACAGATGAAGTTCTGGTGGCGTAAAAAAAGATGCGACGAAGATTCGACGGATTCGAAGAAGACACGAGAAGATATCGCAGACCGCGGCTGATAGATGATGACCATGTAGGATTCCGTCTTCTGGACCCGAGTGCCAATGTTCATCATCAGTACTACCTGGATATACCCGAGCCTCCGCGAGCTCCCGAACCGTACAAGATATCAGGCGCATCATCTTCGATGACCCGAGCACACCGCAGATCCAGCTTTGTTATTCTCGCGGACGCGATCGAGCCGACCTCGAGGTCTGTCGGTGGATCGCCAACGCATGAGCAGAGGATCATCAGGAGTCCCTTGTCCCCCACGAGGGTGATTCCTGGTGGTAGGTCCTCGCCATTCCGGCCTAGAGGCTTTAAAGGCCCGCTTCCGCATGCACAATCTAGACCTCAGAGTCCTCCCGTACCTGCCCGCCGATTTATTCAGCCCAGTAAGTTTAATTTTTTTGGACAATTATAATTAACAATGAAATTAGCAGACACTTGATAATTTTTTTTTTTTTGTAATTTTATTTATAATTTTTTGGAGCTTTTAAAGATGGAATTAAAAAAAAATTTTTTTTTACTATAATCTATATTATTAAGAGAATAAAAAAAATTTTATGTTCAAAATAGTTATATGATATCTCTAGATACATAATTAAGAAATGACCTTGTATCTTGTTTGAGTACCCACATCAATTTTTCATATATTTTTCATATATACATATATATATAATATATATTTTAAAAATATAAGCTCATCCCTATGTTACACTCATCGAGACCTTTCATTTGAGTACCCACATGGCATTTTTTACATATTTGATATATTTATATATATTATATATATATATATGTATGTATGAAAAATATATCAAAAATGCATGTTGGTACTCAAATGAAAGCTCTTGATGAATGTAACATCAGGATGAGCTTATATCTATAAAAATGTCAATATTTAAGTCAGTACAGTGCAATTTAACAAAAATCATTATTTAATAAAGCAAAATTTTAATTTTTTATAAAAATTATCACATGTCTCTAAATTTCAATATAATTTACAATTTACTATCAATAAAACATCTAATTACTATTTTATTTATTTTAGAATCATTGTCACAAGGAAATAGTCCAAGGAAACAAAGTCTGATCCCCCAACCACGAGGTGGCCTGGTCTCACATCGTTCCAATCTAAAGAACAAAGAGCGTGATAAATGGGAACGTCGGTCAGGTCGTTATGTCACCAAAATTCCGCGCTCCAGTTCCCTGAAAACTCCGGGAGCAAAACAAATCCGTCCAGCCGCAGAGACGATACGTGGAGCAAGACCATCAACCAGAAGTGTCAAAAACAATGCAACAAATGTAAAATCCAGTGGTGTAGTTACAGGTACAGCTAATAAAGCTGGAATTCCTGGAAAGGCTAATGGAAATCCAGGTAAATCCCCGGATAAGAAGATAAATCGATCGCCAACAAAAATACCAGTTCGTTATTCGGCTTTTGCTACTGGAGGCGTCGCTAGTAATAATGGAGGTGGAAGATTTATTAAGATTTCAGATAATAATAGCGATGATAAAAAAGAAATAAATTCACCAACGGTATCTTCTGAATCTTCCTCAGTGCCTGCTACCACCACCGACGAGTCTGTTGTAATTGGTAGCGCGGAAACCTCAACGCCAGTCCCAGCTCTCCAAATTTCAGGTGATAAATCTTCAGACAAAAAGGAAAACGATCATGGATTGATAGATCTTCTTAAACACCCGTCAAAAGGTGAAGGAACTAAGAGTGTCGTTAGTGCAACGACCACGACAGCAGTCCAGCCGCTTAAAATTGACGCTACTAATATTATTCCTGACAGTAGTACTGTTATTGAAACAGCTGCTGTTGTTACTTCTAATAATGAAAATAATAATAAGGATGATAAAAATGGTTTGCCGGAACAGATAAAGCCTAATAGTAACAGTAAAGTTGATAATAACCCGGAAGCTAAAGCTAAAGAAGAAATCAAAGCTAAGGAAGAAAGCAAAATTAAGCCCGAAGATAAACCACCAGAAGTTCAGGAAGTTCAGGCAGTTGTAGAGCCAATTAATGTCGAAGCTGTTGTCAAAGTTGAAAACGGTAACGATGAAAAGAAAACTCGAGAAAATTTAAATTTAAAGATTCAAGAGACAAAAGCTGAGCGTTCATTGGATGAAGGTGATAAAAAATTAAAAACTGATGAAACTGATAGAGCTATTGAAGCCGGCTCGCTTAATCCTGTCGGTGATAATAAACGTCAAGAAAACGACTCATCGGGGAATAATGAAAGGACTGATCAGGGAAAAGATAAAGGACGGAACCACGGAAGTGAAACTTCTCTCAAGTCCTCAAATGGATTATCAACCGGCTCGGTGGAGAGCATTCGCTCTACGGACACTGGAGTTAGTCTCAATACTGTCAGAGGGGTTTCTTCTGCTAGGGAAAAACGCGGCACTCATGTTGTAAAACGTTCTCAGGAGATTGAAACACTCAGCGGTAATGTGATGCATGTCGAGAGTCAACGAAATGGCGAACCTGCGTAAGTATTTATTTTATTGTTATTAGAATTTATTATTTGTTATTTTTATTTTATTGCAATATTCAATTATTGTAATATTGTAAAATAATTTAATATTGTTATTAAATATAAAAAAGGGAAGATTATATTTATTAAGTCATCAGATTTCTTATTATTTTTTATTTATTTGCAATATTAAATTATTGTAAAATAATTTAATTATTTTAAAATAATTTAATATTGTCATTAAATATAAAAAGAAAGGTAAGATTATATTTATTAATTCATAAGATTAATAACTTTTGATAAAGTTGTTATAGTTATTGCTAATTTCTTATTATTTTTCATTTATTTGCACTATTAAATTATTGTAAAATAATTTAATTTAATTTATTTTAATTAATTAAATATAAAAAAAAAAAAGGTAAGATTATACTTATTAATTCATAAGATTAATAACTTTTGATAAAGTTATTATAATTATTACTAATTTCTCTTTCATTTACGGATTTTATTTTCTATTTAAATTAATAATGCGGAAAGAAGACTATATTGTTTTTTAGCCATGGTATGGTGATGTGTGTTCGTGACTGTAACGATGCGTGGCGAAATTTCTGTAGACCGGATTAGGATATCTTTAATTTAAAGTTAAACTAAACAGCACTTTGTAAAGTAATATTATATTTTTAGAAACTTATCAAAATGAGTTATTTTAATTCAAACGTTTCAAGAAAATTATTGACTTGAGTTTAATCTACCATCTTAAGACCTTAGATCTTAAATAAATAACTCTGGTTTATTGCAATTAAATAGACGGTAATGTTTATTTTTTAATTTTATTTTTAATTACGCTAATTGTTTATTTTAAATATTAATAATGTGGTTAATTGTTGGGAATAATTAATTCTATAAAAATAATTCTTTATCTGATTATTTAAATGGAAAAAGTTATCAGCGTGTTAGTTATAGTTAGCTGGAAGAAAAAGAAAAGTTTTATTCGTAGTACGTCTTTATGATCAACCTGAAGACGATAAAATTGTCCTACAGAACGTCCAGAGTTTCTTGACCTCGAGTAGAGCGTGCGAGCTTGTTCCAGCGATGACTATCGATCTGCCCGATTTGCATGGACGCTCGGACATAAGAAAATGCAGGAATTTTTTTCTCACCTATTATTCTTATTATTATTATTATTGTTTTTAATAGAGATAAGAAGAAAGTAACTGATTTTTTCTGAGAATTAATATAATTGTGGGTGAGTCATTTGACACCTGGGTCAGATTTTTAACACCTATAGACGTCCAGTCGGCAAAAAATAATCGATCAAAGTTAATTTTTACAAGGGCAGGGCGGGTGAAACACAATTGACCAATTGGTAATTTTTATTTTCCTTCACCCATGTGTTATCGCTCAGGGTGAAAATGAACGTCGTGACGTCGCGTGCGGCCAAGGTCCTTTGAATAAAATCAAATTAAAGGAGAGGGGAGGGAGGGTAATTAGTTTCCAACTCGAGAAGAGAAGGAAGAAATTGCCATAACCAGGGCAAAATTATAAGATTCTAAGAAGAAGAAATAGAAAATTGTTTTGCACATGATTTATGCCACTTGCTTTAAATATTTTTTTTTTTATTATTTTAATAGGCTGAAATTTATTTAGATTTAGTTAGTTATTTGGGGATTCACACCAATAAATTGGATATTTGTTTTTGGTTGAATAAATACCAATTTGTGAATATCAAGTAATTAATTTAAATGATTAAATTGCGTGAAATTAATGTGTTGCGATAAAAAGTGGTGGGTTGTATAAATAGTGTTTTGTATTGAAAATTATTACTGAAATTAAACCTGAAAATCTAAGCGGGGAAATAAAGTCTAGTTAAAAGATATTTATGAGAAGAAAATTATAAATTTTTTTTAATTATTATTCGAGGATATTTTATATTAAATATTTATAAACAAATTTACTTAAAAAATACTTAAAAAAATTGATTTTTTATATTAAAGATCGATAATCATATTAATGTAAAAAATTATTACTATTATTATTAATCTAATATTATTAAGAAAATAAGGAAAATTTTGTTTCCAGGATAGTCATTTGATAAAATCGGTTTTTTTTAGTGAAATTGAGTGTCATTGCAAAGGTCTTGACTTTAATTTGTGCCTTTATAAGATTTTATATCATTCTCACCGATAGTCAATTTATTATGATAAGTACTTAGGAGATATTCGAAAAAGCTCTATCTCTAGATACATAATTAAGAAATGACCTTGTTTCTTATAAACTATTGACATTTTTAAAGATATAACCTCATCTCGATGTTACACTGATCGAGAGCTTTCATTTGAGTACCCACATCAATTTTTCATATATTTTATATATTTACATATATATTATATATATGTATATATGAAAAATATATAAAAAATGCCATGTGGGTACTCAAATGAAAGGTCTCGATGAATGCAACATCATGATGAGCTTATATCTTTAAAATATATATTATATATATGTATATATGAAAAATATATCAAAAATGCATGTGGGTACTCAAATGAAAGCTTTTGATGAGTGTAACATCGGGATGAGCTTATATCTTGAAAAACGTCAATATTTAAGAAAATACAGTTCAATTTAACAAAAGTCATTATTTAATAAGGCGAAATTGTATTTTTTTTGGTAAAAGTTTATTATTTAAATTAAATAAAAATTCTAAAATAATAATTAAGATAAAAACTTGTTGCTTAAATAAATGTATTTTAAATTTCACCACAAATATCAGCAAAACATAATTTGACCTAAAAAAAAAATTTTTTTTTAAACTTCTTCAAAAAATACTTTCTTGTATAATTAATGAATTAGTCATCGGTATAAAACATAGCTTAGGATATTCACAAAGTAAATAATGCAATATATGTATGTCACCTGGCAGGTGAAATGGGCCTCGGCATGAAGGATCTACCGGTGAAGAGGAAGCAGGAGACGGGCGTGAGGTATAGCTCAAGCTTGTGGGCTGTAGAGTAGGTGAATAGAAGTAAACACGGTTTATTCGAGACACGAGAACGTCAAGCCGAACAAAAGTCAGTACAGGGTAGTAGGATATCGATTGTTAGTTAAATCTTTGCGTGACCGGGTCTCCCTAAGTCCCCTTCTTAAGACTGACCAACCGCGGACGTTGGGGTGCGCCGCAATCTTCGAGTAGCCGACGTCCAATGCGACCGATCGTTTTGCGTGGTAAACTGTGCTGAATAAGTCGCTCAAAAATTGTTTACCTTAAACCAAAAAATCGCGTTGCATTAATTAATTAATTAATAATAAAAATAAGGAGTTAATTATAAGAAAGAAATTTTCTAAAGAATAATTAGATTTAAATTACCATAAAATGTAACAAACAGTTCCGAGTAAAACTTTAAAATGAGGGGCAAAAGTTTTAAGCGGGTCGACGAAGTTCTTTCGCCCTTGACCTTTTCATTAGATGTACCATTGTTCATTGCTGTCGACAGGATCGTGGAGGTGACCGAGCCGACAGTCGCAGTTATTCAACCAACGGACACCAGCCAGCTTGGAGCGGCTGCTACCAGAAGAGAGAGGTTCCTTAAATGGAGAAATTCCGCGGTTAAACGGCTGCAGGATCGTTGGAGCAACACCAAAGCCAAGGGAAGAAATATGAAGTGCTTTAATTTTCGGAGACACAAGAAGAACGTCGCACAGCTGAGTCAGATTAATCAGCAGCAAGAACCCAAGAGTGCCAAGACCAAGAAACCTAACTCTTGGTCTTGCTTCAAGCCAGCTTGCTGCAGGTATTTATTTCTTCATTTTAATTTTACATTTCTTCTTTTTACAATTTTATTTATTTATTTGTAGAAAAGTACGAGCAGGGTCCAGAATTGCTCCAGCAGAAACGACGACCTGCTGTCGGCCTGAAAAAAGCTGCTGCTTCCCATGCAAGCCAATAAGCTGGTGCCGATTGCCCAGCTGGTGTTCCTGCAAGAAAAAAGAGACCACCAGGGACATACGTGCCAAACACAGTTTAACCAGCGTCGCACCACCGCCACTCTCGGAGGTAGTTTTTGTTTTATTGATAGTAATAGTCAATAGTTATTATCACTGGCGTGATGATTGCTGGACACTGGGGAAAAATTAATTATCTATATATTATTTAGTGAAATTTAGTGTCATTGCAAAGGTCTTAACTTGAATTTGTGGCTTTTTAAGGTTTTATTTAATTCTCACCGATAGTCAATTTATGATAATAAGTATTTAGGCTGCGTTCAAAAATGCTCTATCTCGAGATACATAATTAAGAAATGACCTTGTATCTTGTGAAATATTGACATTTTTAAAGATATAAGCTCATCCCGGTGTTACACTCATTGAGACCTTTCATTTGAGTACCCACATCAATTTTTCATATATTTCATATATTTATATATATATATCTATATATGAAAAATATATCAAAAATTCATGTGGGTACTCAAATGAAAGCTCTTGATGAGTGTAACTTCGGGATGAGCATATATCTTTAAAAACGTAAATATTTAACAAAATACGGTGCAATTTAACGAATATCTTATGAACTATTGACATTATTTAAGAAATAAACTCACCCTGACAATATACTCATCGAGACCTTTCATTTGAGTACCCGCATCAATTTTTCATATATTTTAATAAATCGTATATATGTATATATGAATTTATATATATATATCTATATATGAAAAATATATCAAAAATTCATGTGGGTACTCAAATGAAAGCTCTTGATGAGTGTAACTTCGGGATGAGCATATATCTTTAAAAACGTAAATATTTAACAAAATACGGTGCAATTTAACGAATATCTTATGAACTATTGACATTATTTAAGAAATAAACTCACCCTGACAATATACTCATCGAGACCTTTCATTTGAGTACCCGCATCAATTTTTCATATATTTTATATATTTATATATATCATATATATGTATATATGAAAATAATATCAAAAATAGCATGTGGGTACTTAAATGAAAGGTCTCGATGAGTGTAACATCGGGATGAGCTTATATCTTTAAAAATGTCAATAATTAAGAAATGACATTGCGATCTTATCAACTAATGATATTTTTAAAGATATAAGCGCATTTCGACATTATACTCATCGATACCTTTCATTTGAGTACCCACATCAATTTTTTTATATATTTATATATATATTATATATATGTATATATGAAAACTATCTCAAAAATACATGTGGGTACTCAAATGAAAACTCTTGATAAGTGTAATATCGGGATGAGCTTATATCTTTAAAAATGTCAATAGTTAAAAAAAATACAGTGCAATTTAACAAAAGTCATTATTTAATAAAGCAAAATTTTATTTATTTATAGTTCACAAGTAGTTTTAATTAATTCTTTAGATAAAAAAATAAATTGCTTAAAATTTTAAAGAAGATAAATTTCTAAAAGAAGAATTTTTTTTTCTCAGTGTAATTTATTTGAGTTTGAGATATCAATTTGATAATGAACCAAGAAGATAGTTGATGGAGTGAAAATGATAGACTGAAGACTATTGACTATTGACTATAGACTGGTGATTAATGATTATTACTGTGATTAATGTCCCATTAGGAGCAGAAATCCAAGATCCCGGATGTTCTGATTGAGCACAACTCCGTGATGCGGGCTGCCATTCCCTGTCTTCCCGTCCCACTGGCCTGGTTCTGCCTCGTTTGGAATGTCCTCCTTCCCGGTACAGGTAATATAACTATCGGCTGGTGTCTATCTTCCTGTCTAATCATCTAGACAAGTCTATTAATGATAATCATCTATTAGTGATAGATAATTGCTCTTCATTTATCTAATCAAATCTAATGCAATATTAGGATATTGCCGTTAATAATTGTTATTGTTAGCGGCATTTTGGTCTATTGTATTGCGTTACATTGTGTCAATTGTATATTGTATTGAATTGGATTCCAGGTACTATTTGGAGTGGGTTGTTTAATTTATGCATTGGTCAACCTCGGTTTGCTGCGACGTCAAGTGCCAGGTCACGATTGGGCGCGTTTATTGTCGATATTATTGTTGGAGTCAGCCAAGCTTTTACTGTGCTCTTTTGTCTGGTCGGATGGGGCTGGAGTATTTGGTGGGGTGTTACCATGATACGTTTAGCGAGTAAGTACCAATATGTGGTTACATGTTGGAATATCAAAGGGCAAAGTTATCTAATGTGTCAATAAATAATTTACACGGGCTGTTTTATACAAAGATTAGCATAGACAATAGACATTTTTTTTTTTTTATTACATTGTTTGATGCAATCTATAGGGTTTATTTTTGTTAATTCTTTGGATTTTATTAATATTTATTTAATCAAAAATAAAAGGGAGATGAATAATTTTTTTTGTAATTAAAATTTTTTTTTTAATGTCAAAAATTATTTAATTGTAAATTATAAATTTTTTTGGACTGTAATATGTAAAAAATTACTGAAAAAAAAAATATGGTAATTAACTTAGCAGATATTAATAAATTTTGTGGAATTTTGATAGCAAATTAATTGAAAAATTAAATAAATTGTGAAGTATTAGTTGATTTTATACTATCAATTAAAGTATAAATTTATAAAATAAATTATTTAATAAATATTATAATTTTTTTTATATTATACTTTTAAATTTATAATATAATTGAATATCATTGGATCATTGCTATGCGGGATATGTAAATTTTGATCAAAATTTCTAGAGCGTAAAATTTCCAATAAGAATCATTAGAGGTTTTATTTCGGTCTACTCACGATAATAAAAATCAGAAACTTTTAAATTACGACACGCAACCAGGAGTATCAATATTAAGGTGATATTTCACCGAAATTTGGAGACTTTAATAGAAAAAATATTGATTAAAAATGTATAACAATTTAATTAATTTTATTATAATTTTTAAATTTGCTTGTAACATCATTATTATTAAGATTATCTACTATATCTCTAGATTCACGAATAAGAAATGGCCTTGTATCTTGTGAACTATTGACATTTTTAAAGAAATAAGCTCATCCCGATGTTACATTCATCGAGACCTTTCATTTGAGTACCCACATCAATTTTTCATATATTTTATATATTTATATATATGTATATATAAAAAATATATCAAAAATGCATGTAGGTATTCAAATGAAAGCTCTTAATGAGTGTAACATCAGAATGAGCTTATATCTTTAAAAAGGTCAATAGTTAAGAAAGTACAGTGCAATTTAACGAATATCATGTGAACTATCGACATTTTTAAAGATATAAGCTCATTTCGATATTACACTCATTGAGACCTTTCATTTGAGTACCCACATAAATTTTTCATATATTTTATATATTTATATATATTACATATATGTATATATGAAAAATATATAAAAAATGCATGTGGGTACTCAAATGAAAGCTCTTGATGAGAGTAACACCGGGATGAGCTTATATTTTTAAAAACGTCAATTTTTAAGAAAATCCAGTGTAATTTAACAAAATTCATTATTCAATAAAGCAAAATTTTATTTATAGTTGACAAATCACGGCAGTCACATAGTGACTGCAAGGTTACCTATAATAATAATAATAATAACAAGTTATTAAATAGTAGTTTAAGTACCATTGAATTTAATAACTTTTTAATCAATAGGAAAATGGAAACGATTCAAAGCTGCTGAAGCAAGTAGCAATGACTTGGAAGCTGGTGGAGATATTGATGGAAATTTGCCTGCACCCGGAGTACCTACTCAAGCTCTGCGTGAAATGGAGCGGGCTCGTTGATCTCCAAATGATTGGCTTCCTGCTATTGTACTCTCCATACTCGTCTCTTATTCTTCCGTCTGATATTTATATTTATATATAGATATTACAACAGTAACAGATAACTCCGATACTTATTGTATGCTTTCAATGAAAGCCTGTATATACATTTGTAATCGTAAAGAATACTTTTAAGCCTACCCTTTACAACATACATAAATATATATTTTTTTTTTTTATAACAAATAATGCACGCTTAACATTGTATTCCAGTGAAGATGATGTATCGTGTTGTAAATATAACCTTTCCTTATGACTTAAAATAAATTTTAATAAAATATCAAGCAAAGCAATCTATCTTTTCATTACAAAATTTAGATCATTACCCTTACTTCCATCAATTTAATTAATATCAATAATTATTATTTCTTCTTTCTCATCCAAGAAGAATATTTAATATTTAATATTTAATATAAAAAATATTTTAATTAAGGTAGAGAAGAATTGGTATAGATAGAGTGTGGGTGTAAAATTGTTAATCAATGGTTATTTATATATATATAGAGATATGTATATATAGATAATATAAGAGTAGTACATGTTTTAATGTGAATTCATATGTATCAATTCTTAGTATATAATGTTAATATAATGTTACAGTGTATATGTGTTACAGAGTATGTGATAGCGGCTGAATTTTTTTTTTTTTTTTAATATATATATATGATTAATTGTTATTATTATTATTATATTTTAAAACTTAAATTAAAATAAATTTATATTCTACGGATACACTAGCAGCTAGAAGCATTTTTTCTTCTATACAGTAATTGTTTTTTTTTTTTTTTTTTTTTTTTTAATATTTCTTCCGCTGTTATTTTTTTGCTGTTTGTCGTGAGTAAAGAGTGTATTTGTTGATCAATTTGTTAGTGTCTGTGTTAATGACTTTAATTAATTTTATTGTTTGATTTTTAAAAATTTTATTATTTTATTTAAAAATATTTGGCGAGTGAGTGCGAGTGAAGATCATTAATTTAACATTAACAATCGTGTGATGAATGTTTTTTTTTTTTTTAAAAAAAAAAAAGAGATCTATATATTCTAATAAAATGGATCTAAGGCATATATTTAATATATTCATTAAAATCTCTTGTATTTCATATATTTTACCCCTAATCGAGTAGGCAATACATTTGTTTGGCAAATTTAAAAACGAGAAGAAAAATAAAAATATTTAATTAAAAAAAAAACGTTTGATAAAAATGAATAAATAAACTAATTCCCAAAAAATAGGAACTTGTGCTGACTATTATACAGAATAATTATTATTATTTTAATAAAATTACGCTTAAAATGCTTTATCGCAATTATTGTTTGTTCACCATTGTTTTCATCTAGCCTCTCGCTCTCTCGCTCACTCGCTCAAGTATTTTATCCTTTTATTCATTTTATTCATCATCATTATTATATAATAATTATTTTTTTTTATTATTATTAGTATTATTATATTATTTTGTATATTTAGATTTTCATCTAGACAGTGGTACACTTGGTAGGGTGCTCAGGGCTGCTAGGCACAGATAATTGACTCGCAAATAACTCTTTAAACAACATTAGAGCGTACGACATACAGTACAATGCTAAGTAATTATATACATTTATAAATATTAAATATGTCTAAATAAAATAAAATACCTATATATTTATAAATGTATATAAATACACACACATTTTTACGTTTACATATTTTGTATTTTAATTTTTTATTTATTAATTAATTATTATTTGTTTATTAATATGTATTTGTTATAATGTATTTAAATAATTAATTAATTAGAATTTTTTTTTAAATGGCATCGCAAAATTTTTTTAGTAAGTGACGTATAAATTTAATGTGTACATGTGTTTTATTTTTTTTTTTTTTTATATTTCTTCTTTTAGACAAAATTGTTATTTCGAAATAACTTGTGTGTTTAATTAATTAATATTGTTATTATTGTACTAATTATTAATAATTAATTAATTAGAATTTTTCTTTTAAATTAACGTGTGTTTAAATAATTAATATTTTAATTATTAATTATTCTTAAAATAATTAATTAATTAGAATTTTTTTTAAATGACATTACAAAAATGTTTTTTTTTTTTTATGTATTTCTTCTTTTAGATAAAATTTTTATTTCTAAATAATTTGTGTGTTTAAATAATTAATATTGTTATTATTTAAATAATTAATTAATTAACATTTTAATTAATTTGTTTTTAAATGGCATTGCAAAAATGTATTAATGTAAAGTATAAATTTAATGTGTTTTTTTTTTTTTTTTAATATTTCTTCTTTTAAACAAAATAGTTATTTCGAAATAACTTGTGTGTTTAAATAATGAATATTGTTATTATTGTACTAATTATACCTCTATAGCATTAAAATACATTTAAATTTAAATTTATACGCATTGTACCGCGACATAACGAGGAACAATTTATTATCAAGGGAGGGTGGTTGCTCTTAAATCACTGGATTAATAATTCTGTGTGTCGCGACTGTCTATAGAGAAGTACTTGACACTTAAAATTTATCATAATAAAAATAATAATAATAATAGTAATTATTACTATTTATTACCGAGCATAATAAATTGAATATATCTACCACCCAATAAAAATCCTTAAAATATAAAACAAGAGTTAAAATTAAAATCAACCCGTTATGATACAGTTGTTAAAAATCATATTCCATGTATTATTTTTTTGTATTTTAATATTGTATAATATATATGTATATAATATATATATATATATATTTATATATTTATATTTATATGTATAATCAATAAATCTTGTTATATTACATCTAGTTTGTCTTTTGACGCAGCGATGGGAAGACAGAGCAAGGACCTGAATGCTCCAGGTCCAGATTATTATGGAGAGGACACTAGGATTTACTGGGGACGGGTTATTTAATTATCAAGCCCAGGGAGCTATTATTTTTATAATACTCAGTATTAATTAATTAATAAACTCTCCCTAGCTCGGATTCAGGGTAGGATTTTTTTTTTCTAATCACCGACAATTAAATCGGTTAACTAATTCTACATACATTGATATGACAGAAAGTTTGGATTTACTACAACCTGATATGTAGGGAGGGGCAGGTAAATGTCACCGGTAATACTTGGCTCTTCTGAAGACTATTGCTATTTTTAATTACTCTCATAATTTATTTTCATCAATTTAAAAAAAATATTTAATACTTAAAAGTATCTGCAATTTGTTAAATTAATTTTCTACAAGATAAACATTGTATATAAATTTTGTTAATTACCAGGAAAAATTTGTGATTAAATTAAATAAATTACGAGAGTAATTTGTCAGCAATAGCGCATCAGTCGTTACAATTTTTCTTTACAAACATCATCAACTAAATTTATAAATTGAACAATAATAATTAATCAACTGTTGACGAAGATGATAACCAATAATATGACAATACATTATAACAATTATAATAACCTAATAATTAATATTATTTAATAATTAAATTATATAAATGATTAATGATATAATAGCGATATGTTTTTCTATACTAATTACTAACAAGACATTTATTCTAATACCATTTTTTTTGAAGACTCAATGTCCACTTAATCAATTAATTAATGTATATATTCCAATTTTTTTATAAAAAATTGGAATTTATAAATAATAATAATTCCTACATTTATCATTTGACAAAAAAGTTTTCTTCATTTCTTCAAATATATACACATAGATGGATAGATATGCAGTATTTTATTTTAAACTTTCGCCCACTTTTTAGAATAATTATCGACACTATAAATCGTTTGTTAGTTTTTTTTTCTTCATACAACCTTGATATAATAGCCATTATAGAAGTTAGAAATGTTTTTCAACACTTTAACCGCTATTTTGTGTAAGTTCGTCTTTATTTTATTATTTTAATACAAGACGTAGGTGTATATGTATATATTCATATTTATATAAATATAAATATATATATATATTTGTAAAATGTATACGTGTGTGAATATTTGTGGTTTAATATATATGCAATATATGTATCAGATTATTTAAATACAATAAGATTTGATTTTGTACATAATTTGTATCCCATTCACCGGAAGATGATTGCTTAATACTGCAAAAAATTATAGAAATTGAAAAAAAATATATATATAACTATACTGATATATACAATCGTGGTCTTTAATTTAAATGTTTTTAATATTATTGGAAAATTGATTAACTTTAAGTTTGGAAATCAGTTGATAATGTCATTTGTAAAATTAGTCGCTAATAAAAAATGATATTAATTAAATTAGAGAAATGGAAATTTTAGCTAATATATAAAGTCATTTATAAAATAGCGAAAAACAAAAATCTGTGGCTAAGTAAATTTAGACAATTTTTAATGCAGAAACTTACACAGTAAAAAATTTTTTATCATTGCGTCAAAAAATTTTGTGTTAAAAACAATAAATGTTAAATCAACACAAAAAAGTGTTAAATATTTAACAGTAAGTTTTTTGACGTAAAATTTTTTACTGTGTATAAAATTAGCCGATTGTAAACTTTGTGAATTGTAAAATTAGCCGTTTTTAAATCTCTAGTAATTCTTTAACAAATGAAAGGATCAAAAAAAACAATTTGAGAAATCTAAAAAGACTTTTATAAATTTATTTCTTCTAAAAATTAGAGCAGATTCGACCGACTCATTCTAAAGTTATAAGATGTTTAAAAACGGCTTTTTATCGGTTTACAATTGGTTAATTTTATAAGTTTCTGAAGTAAGAATTGGTTAAATTCATTAAGCCACAGATTTTCATTTTTCGTTATTTTATAAATAACTAAATTTATATTTGGTTAAATTTCCATTTCGCTAATTTCATTTTTTATTAGCGACTAATTTTACAAACGACATTATCAACTAATAATAGAGTTTACAAACGGCTATTTTCCAGTAATATTAAAAACATACTTAAATGAATAACCACGATTGTACATATACATATATATATATATATATATATATATATATATATATATAATAAATTTCGAACTAATTTTTCTTAAAACAAAGCTACAATAATTGGCAATTTAATTTAATTATTTATTGACTTAAATTTTCTGCCGGTGTATGGTATAGTCTTCATCGTAGCGCCATTTAATTTACGCTTTTTTGTAATTTTTATTTTTATTTTTCTTTAGTAGAGTTTAATATCTTTCGGTATGTCTTTTTTTTTGTTTAATTAGTTTGTTTTAATAAATTTAATTTATATAAACGAGAGCAAACGCAAAGTCAAGTCGTCAAGAGACGGCAAACAGATATTATATAATATAATACAGAAAAAAAATTATATTTATGCAGCGATACGTTTAATTATTTAATTCTTAACCTAACAATTTATACTAATTACTAAAATAATAAAAAGTATTTTTTATGATAAATTAATTGTAAACAGTACCGCTACATTTACAGCAGACAAAATATTTCTTCATCACTTTCATTAATCCGATAAAAATATCGGTTCACAAAAACCAGTTCGTTGTAATACGCACTAAAAATTTATAAGTTAGCAAATTTACATTTTAATTATATTAACTAATTTAATAATTAATTAATTGATTAATGTACAAGTGTTTTATCAGAAAATAAGCGACAGTCTGGTGTGAAGATATCTTTTGTATTTTATTATTTGTTTTCTTAAAATTCAAATTTATTATTACTTTACTTTTTTATTTATTTATACTTTACTTTTACTTTTCATCTCAGTTTATTTATTTAATTTTTTTTGGCTTTTTAATTTTTATTAAAAGTCTGCGCTTGAATAAAAGCGACACTATATTTATTAGCGGAGCGTGATTTTAATCACGAGGGCATCGTTTTAAGCGTCTCAATGACTACAGAGTCAATTAAGATAATTTATTTATATGCTCTACGCACTTTTTTTTTTTTTAAGATTTATTTTTTATAATTTTTTATAAATAGAAAAAGAAAAAAAAATTTCTGTTGATTAATCATTAAGTATTTGTATCATTATTATATTTTATTTTAATTTAATTGATTGATTAAAATTAATCTGGCGCGTAAAAATATCTAAGCCAGATTTTTATAACTATTGGATTAATTATAATAATGATAATCAGTTGCTAAAAAATTTTCCATTGTCGTGAATAATTATTTAAAAATTCTTTATAAAATATTATTTTCAACTGACTTGACTTTTTTAAGTATTAGTAATAATCATAATAATAATAATGATAATAATTAATAATATATTGTCGTGTGAATTGTAAATCGAGGATATATATATTTATATTGATATTTTAATATATATTATTATTTTAATTTTCAAAAAAATTATTTTTTTGCCAAATATTTCTCACAGCCGTATCCAAACGATATCTCTACTTTAAAAAAAAAAAAACTAATTTTTTAAAATTAATAAATTCATCAAGAAAATTTTTTTTTTAATTATATATAATTATAAATAAAATAATAATGACGATACTCTCTTGATTGAATTCCAAAACTCCTAATTACTTTTTTTTTTTTTTTTTTATACTTTCTATACAATACACCTACAATTACTTACGATATGACATTATTCTCGCCATCTAATTATATTAATCATTAATTAAAAATTCGCTGGATGTCTATATGATTAATTTTATTTTTTTCATCATTAATTCTACACTAAATTGATATGATTCTACACTTAAGTGTGTAGTAATTCTAAAAATAACAGAAAAATAATTCATGATAAATTTACCGGCACTGGGATTCGAACCCGGTTCTCACCGCTCAAGAGTTCTCAGCCTGTAACTCGTCGCCAGTATCTTAATTAGGGACGACGTAAAATAATAAAATTATGGCAATAATTATACTTAGAATAATAAATCGCAAAAAAGTAACGTCAATATTAATTAATAAGATTGATTGAAATATTAAAATTAATAAAAATTTAATTGTAAATAGAAAATACGAAGCGTATGTAAACGTCCGTGGAACGACGATACTTGTCTCTATTTAGTCCATAATTTTTTTTTTAAATATTATTTATTTATTTATTAATATTATTATTATTATTTTGTTAGGCTACTTAAGCACTTTCCAAAACAATTCCGTTCATTAAATCATTGCGAATCATCGTTGAAGCTATCTATTTACAGACATCAGACATTGTATTACTTAATTTTGCTTTTTTATTTTTTTTTTTTTCTCAATAATAAAAATCAAAACTACGCAATACAATATTATTTTTATCAAATACTCTAGTTAAATATTTTACAATTGCCTCAAATATAAATTTGTTCATCATTTTTTAAATAAAATCGTCTTAATCATTTGTTTGTTTATTATTTTATCTTAATAATAAATTCCTTTCTCACTCAAATGAATTTTAAAATTCATTTTTTAATTTTTTTTCGCTTAAAATCTTACACGCGCAATCACTCATCATCTCTCGCACGATCAGTGGACTCAAATTGGCGCTGATATTTATTATTTCTATCTGTCTACGTCATGGGGGATACAATGCCCGGGCAATTATTACTTTAAGTATTTACCATTTAATTATAATTAATATTATTTGTAGTCATTATTATATAATGCATGGCCGAGTTGCGTCTCTACATTATGTTATATATATTTTTTATGTGTATATTTAGCAATTATAGAGTAATTTAGAAGAGTTTAATTGATAGCGTTGTCAATTGGTTCGCTTATTAATTTAATCAAAATTTTTTATTTTAATTAATCCGAGATCTAAAACCTTCTTTTTTACTATTTTAAAATCTTATTTATTTCCTTTTTTTTATTTTATAGTTTTATTATAAAAACATCCCTTGACCCGACAAAATATTGCCAAGAGATACTAATTATATCGGTTGTCTTCAAGGTAATTGTTTTATTATTTTTTTGTATATAAAATTCAATTCACAGTTCACAGTCCGTGATTCGACTATTACAAATCGAATAAGGAATTTAGTATCGAGTATATACTTTTTTTTTTTTTTTTTTTTATTTTCATTTCTTCAATATTTATTTATTTATTTCAAAGTTTTTAGGAAATCTGAACATTACAGCCCACCGCAAGTGTGAGCGGAAAGTGATAAGATAAAATTTATTGTTCTTAAATATAGCAGTCAAGAAGATATATTTATGTGTATATATATATATTTTTTTTTTGTTTTAAAATTCATAAAAGAGTCACGACAATTTATTGCCGCTCACTAAGCTTCCTAAATACGTCAATATTTATAAATAAAAGTCGAAAATAAACGTAAAAAATTTTTAATTTGTAATTTACAATAAACCCTCCGAATTAATTAATCAATCTATCGGTACTAGACGCGGTAAATAAATGAGCAGCGGCAATTATCGTCGGAAATGGTGCAAAGTATCGGGGACTAGAGGTGGCTCCAAAAATACATCGCGTAAAGTCGCGTAATCATCGTTCTAAATCCAGTTTAACCAATTAAATACACCAATCCAACATTACTTGACAATATACCATTACTATTTATTTTTTATTTATAATTTATTATTGTAATATATTTTTATTTTCCCTGTCAAAGTAATCCTGGACGGTAATTTAAATGATTATAAACACGGCAGTAATATATTTAATAGCACGTGGTTCAGGTGTTTATGTTTTTATTAAAAGCAAACAATAGATGTAATGACACTTTGTAGAATATATAGCTCGAACGTAAGAAAAGTCATACATTCGTTGTTAATATATTATATATCATAATAATTATTACATTTATTTATATTTATTAATAAACGACAAAAAATCGTCTAATCAGCAAACGTAATTGCCACGTGATTTGATATGTATCTGAGACGAAAAAAAAAAGCAATTCTAAAATTTAGTGGCAATTCATTATAATCTATCACACTTTATATTGTAAATTATTACAATTGTGATGTTTTTCCGTTTAATAATAAATTTATGATTTATAAAAAACTAACCAGAACCACGGCAGTACTATTAATTAATCAAAAAACGGGACGAGGGACCTCTAGGCATGTCTATGTCTGGATATAGTTGGTCCAGCCTTGTATATTTATATATTTTTTTTTCTTCATCTAAACTTTCTTATTCTTACTCTTTACTTTACTTAAATATCTTTTTATCAGTATTATTTTTTAGCAATTTTTTTTTTACAACTATTTTTTTACTATTAATTTTTTCCCTTTTTTTTTTTTTTAAATATTAAATCCTTCTGTTTGACAGCAGAAAGTATAAACTTAGATACTCTTATCCGTAGGGCCAGAAAGCGGCCAGCGGCTGTGACGATAATGGAGGAAGCGACGGTTGAGGTGGTAATGCCGCAGGGGTCGGAAGTGGCGGCGCACCGGGAGTAGGCGGCGGTGGTGGAGGAGGAGGAGGAGGAGGCGGGGGCGCCTGATGAGATACCCGCTGTATGCCTGAATAGATACTCGGTGTCGTGATAAGAAGGTGACAGGAAGGAGGAAGTGGCGGAGGTAAAACGGGAGATAAAGCTATGGCTGTCGGGGGATGCACCCCCGTTCCTACCGTGACACATAACTCATGCAGGCCATATTGACCCTGTGTCTGACCTTGTGAGAGACGATGATGCCGAAAATGAGTGTGCGGATGATACTGCTGCTGCTGCTGTTGATGATGATGCTGATGGTGCTTCTGCTGCGGTGATTGATGCTGATGCTGTTGATGTAGAAGATGGTGTTGTTGCTGATGATGATGATGATGATGAAGCTGCTGCTGTTGATGATGATGATGATGACGGATGCTGATAATAGGATGCTCGCGCTGGCCCTGGGGTTCGACGTTCTATTCAGAGTCTTGTTGCATTTTAGCGTGACCGTTACCGGGTGAATCGCTGGATGCATTTGCGCTGGCACCGGCTGGTGGGAAGTTTGCCGGTATCGTACGTGATGATGAGAAGCACAACTTCATTATGTACGGAAACTTGCCATCTGGTTGGAAACAAGAAAAATTAAATTATACACTGATATGATTTGTTTATATTTAATAAGTTTTATTGACTGTTAATAAATGATTTTTCAACATCAAAGAATTTAATAAATATTTATTAACAAACTAGCAATCTTGCAGTCACTATGTTAAATAATACAGTGCAATGTTAAATTGCACTGTATTTTCTTAACTATTGACCTTTTCAAAGATATAAGCTCATCCTGATGTTATATTCATCAAGAGCTTTCATTTGAGTACCCACATCAATTTTTTCATATATTTTATATATTTATATATTTCACAAATACCATATATATAAAAAATGCCATGTGGGTACTCAAATGAAAGGTCTCGATTAGTGTAACATCGGGATGAGCTTATACCTTTAAAAATGTGAATAATTAAAAAGTACGGTGCAATTTAACAGATATCTTGTGAATTATTGACATTTTTAAAGATATAAGCTCATCCCGATGTTATATTCATTAAGACCTTTCATTTGAGTACCCACATTAATTTTTCATATATTTATATATATTATATATGTATATGTATATATGTATATATGAAAAATATATGAAAATGCATGTGGGTACTCAAATGAAAGCTCCTGATGAGTGTAACATCAGGATGAGCTTATATCTTTTAAAAAGTCAATATTTAAAAAAGTACAGTGTAATTTAACAAAAATCATTATTTAATAAAGCAAAATTTTATTTATAGTTCACAAGTCACGGCAGTCACATAGTGACTGCAAGGTTGCTATTATAATTAATTCAAATAATTTATAAAGATGATTTGTGGTTATAAGCAACCTTCATATCATATGACATTGCAAGCGAAACAAATTCACTCAACAAAATATTTATTAGCTATTAATAACTTTTCTCCCAAATAAATATTTATTGAATGTTAAAAAATATTTATTAAATTAAATAATTGTCTTCAAGACAATGAAATTATTAATAGTTAATCAATCTTTCTATCAGTGTAGGAGACAAATAATGGTTTGATTTTTTTTACTCCGTCTATTCTATTGTATTTATCAACTCCTTCTATGCCGGTTCTCCATTTGATTGGAAAGTTATTTAATGAATAGTATTAATGCTCTAGTTTCTAAAACTTACTGCTATTCTCCAGTGCTGTGTGGTTACACTCCATTATCGCAGCTACGGCAACTCCTACACTGCTGAATTCAATAAGCCCCGAGGAAGAGCGCTCTGACTTGAGTGGAAACAGCTTTATGGTTAAGGGTGTCTCTATTCCACGTTCGACAAAAACTTTATTAACTGTCTCCTCGGTTAGATCTGGCGGTGTGTTGAAAAAGTGGACTATTTTTGACGGTGGTTGTATTCTATTTTTGTTAGCCATAGCTGGGTTTAAGAATCTGTTATTTTTGCTACCGGTAAAGTCTTTGAAACTTGCGGTCTTGTCCGGTAACACGTAAGGGTTGGTTACGTCTGCGAGAAAGGCTTGTTTTGAAAACCCGAGCTGAAGTTTACCTTCTGTCCCGATCGTTACGTTATTCAAATTCTGGAGACACCGCTCCACGGCAATACTATCTCCCATTTGAATCATGGCACATCCTTCTTTTGTCTTTAAAAATTTAACCTGGAAAAAAAAATAAAAAAGTTTGGATTAATTTTTAGAAACTGATTCTTATCTTTACAAAAACTTAAACATCATAATTTTAGCAGAGTTTCAACAATACAATACAAAGTGTAGTGAAAAGAATATGGAAATTTTAAATGAATAGAGGGTTGATAAATTCTTTGACATTATGAAAATTTACGTTCCACGTATAACTTTACTTTGTGTCACCTTTTTAGCTTAAAATTACCCTGGAATTTATTTTATAATTTATCTTTTAAGCGAATCAATTAAGTTATTCCCAAAGGCTGATAAAAACTTTTACAATAAGATTTGGGTTAATCTGTTGCACACGATGACTTTCTTGACTATGAATTAGAGTTTCTGAAAGGCCTCCTTAGGGAGAACATGTTCACTTTCTGGATCGTGAGATTCCTTTTACTCTTAAGACTTTACACCTTAAATGCATATTTTAACTCTTAATCAGCTAATTTTCATAATGTTTGATTTAATATAATAAAGTGGATTGATATCAAAAGTTCACTTATTTTGATAGTACTATTATTCATTTTTTCAGTCTTATTATGTCTTATTAAGTAACTTTACATTTAATTTAATTAAGAACAGAATAAATAATTTATCATAAACTTTCTAGAGTATTTAAATCTTTTGTTATAAAAAATTTTATGGTATAAAATTTATAAACAGTATTAAATTTTTATCGCAAAAATTTTATACTAGTTGTCATAAAAATAAGAAAATAAATTAATATAAAATCTTTTAAATATTTATTTGAATTTTTATATCGCACTAAAAAAAAATTAATTTAAAAAAAAAATAAGAAATTGATTTTTTTTTTAATTTTTTTTACAGTAAAAAAATTTTTTAAATTTGAAAAAAAAATTTTAATAGCGAACTTGTGAATTTTTATAAAAAATTTTTATTTCTTCAGCTTAGAAAAAAAATTATCAAAAATTTTAAATAAATTAATTTTTTGTCACAAAAATGCCCATTTTTTTTTTTTCAAAATAAATTTCTAAAAATCACAGCGATTAAAATGAGCAACAATAACTCTCAAGCGAAAGCGCATCGCGTTTGAGGTGAACAGTATGAAATTACCGGTTCCCTTATATAATAAGAACAAACGTTGACTGAGAAAAGAAGAAATAACAATTGTGAGCCAGTGTATTTACCTTGGTGACATTGCCGTAGAGGCAGAAGAGGTTGAAGAGTTTGTCAGTGTTGACTTTGTCAGCTTGTAGGCCGTAAACCATCATAACCGAGCCTTGAGTACTTGTCGGCGGCGTTTGTCCGAGACTTGGAACATAACCAGGTCTAGCTGGAGACGGATGAAGAGGCTCTCGCCCGCTAAAGTCGCCCTTTAACCCATACCTCTCGTAAGGCTCCGCATAGGTAGCGGGACCATTGAAGCTTTCTTCGTAGCGATCGTGCCCGGGTGGAAAGGCCACTTGTGGCGTCGAGCCTAAGGCCAACAAAGAACCCAACGTTATTAAAGTTTGTTAAATTAACCACAAGTATTAAACTCCCAAGATTTATATTTTAACAAGCTTCTTAAACTTTAATAACATTCGTTAATTACAAAAGACGTTGGCAATTACTGACAAATTTACTTTTTACTTTTTTTAGTTCAACTCGAAGCAATTAGACGTTTCCTCTAATTTAATCTCCTGAATAACCAATTTAATAAATAGCTTTAGTGTATGAAATTTAAAGTTTACTTTCTTTAATTTACTCAAAAATTCATTACCAACTTTACGATAAAAAAATTGAGAAGATATTTTTTTTTTTTAATTTATCATAAAATTTTTTTACATTTTCTTCATTCAAATCAGAGTTTCAATTTTAATTTTTAAAAAAGCATTTTTTCTTCTTAGAATACAAATAAATATTTTGTACAATTTTTTTTGTATAAAAAAAATTGTCTTTATAAAATTATAAAAATGTTGTTTAATTTATATTATCAAGAGAAAAAGAAAAAAATTCTCTATCTCGGGATACATAATGAAGAAATGACCTTGTATCTTGAGAACTATTGACATTTTTAAAGAAATAAGCTCATTCCGATGTTACACTCATTGAGACCTTTCATTTGAGTACCCACATCAATTTTTCATATATATATATATATATATATATATATATATATATATATATATATATATATATATA